CAATATTATAACCATATATACAGGGTCACCAACCCGTACGTACGGAGGTTCCCAGGCCGACCTCCATATGTAAGGGCATTTGGGGTCTCGTATGGAGTCCGAACCCGACGGCCTTCGGCCCCCGCCAAAAATTATTTCGAGGCCTAAAAGTAAATTTTATTTTCTGAATGTTTTTTTGTGAGTTCTCTATCACGTGGGGTACATGACTATAAATTTTGACTTCGTTAGGCTAGGCCAAATAGAAATTAAAAATCGCAAAAGATGGCAGTGTCAAAACGTGCTCGCCCACGTTTTTTTTCACTTTTTACTTTTTGTTTTCACTTTGGTTCGTGGTTAAAAAACAATTATTATTTTTTGAAACTTTTTTAGTAGGTTTTTCATTATGTGAAGTACACATCTGTAAATTTTCAGGGGCATTTAGCTATGCCCAAAAAAAAAAAAAAAAATCACCAAAGATGGCGCTGTCGAAAACATGCTCGCACACTCACTAAATTTAATTTTTTATTTTTTATTTTTTATTAATATTTGTTCTCCGTATTTTATTTTTATTTCACATTTGGTAAGGAATTTGAATGTAATGCTCAAGCAAATCTTGTTTAGTTTATTTTTCTTCACAGTATATTATTTTTTAAGATTGTTTTAATTTATTTATTTTTTTTAATCCGCGTTCGGCCCGAACGGCCGAATGCATCCCCAAACGGTCCCATATGTTCGGGCGTTCAACTCGTCCCAAACGTCGGTTACCCTGTATATATATATATATATACACACATATATATACAGGGTTGCCAGGACGAACGTATGGAGGCCCCTAAGCTGACCCAGGAACGTTTGGGCATTCGGGTCCCCGTACGGGGCCTGAACCCTGCAAAAAACTATTGTGGCACCTAAATATTTTTATTGTTTTTCTGATTTTTTTTTTTTTAAGTTCTTTATGATGTAGGATATCTCCCTCTTGATTTTGAAGCCATTCTGTTTTGCCAAACAAACATGAAAAATCCACAAAGATGGTGGTGTCAAAACTTGCCCACTCACTAATTTTCTTTTTTTTTCTTTTCACTTTTTGTTTTTTCTTTATTTTGGGGTATGAAAAAAATTATTATTTTTTCAAACTTTATTTGTAGATTCTCTATTATGTAAGGTACTCAGATATAAATTTTCATAACATGTATCATAGCGAAACAAAAATGAAAAATTGCCAAAGATGGTGGCGCAAAAAACGTGCTCGCCCAGTCTATAATTTCATTCTCGTTTAATTTTTTTAATTTTGATTATTATAATTTATTTTTAGTATTTGATTTCTATTTCCAATTTCGTAAACAATTTGGATGTAGCGTTGAGGCAAATGTTGTTTAGTTTATGTTTCTGCATAACATATATGTTTTTCAAAGTTATTGGATTTGTTTTTATTTTTTATTTTTTATTTTTGGGTCTGCGTTCGGTCGAACAGTCGAACGCGTCGAGAGGGGGTGCCGAACGTTCAGGCGTTTGACCCGTCCCGAACGCCGGCAACCCCTTGCAGTTCTATATATATATACAGGGTCACCAGCCCGTACATACGGAGGTCCCCGGGCAGACCTCCGTACGTACGGGCATTCGGCCCCTGCCAAAAAATATTTCAGGGCCTAAAAATAATTAGTTTTCTCTGAATTATTTTTTGTGAGGTCTCTTTGACGTGAGGTACATGCATATAAATTTTCAAGTCATTTGTCTATGCCAAATAAGAATTAAAAATCGCCAAAGTTGGCGGTGTCAAAACGTGCTCGCCCACGTATTTTTTCACTTTTTACTTTTTGTTTTCACTTTAGTTCGGGGTCTAAACAATTTTATTATTTTTTGAAACTTTTTTAGTGGGTTTTGTATTATGAGAAGTACACATCTGTAAATGTTCAGGGCACTTAGCTGTGCCAAAAAAAAATGAAAAATTTTCAAAGATGGCGGTGTCGAAAACGTGCTCGCACATTCATTAAATTTAATTCTCTTTTTATTTTTATTATTAGTATTTATTTTCCGTA